TAACGTTATTATTTGAATATAGTTAATATCCTGATAAAAAGTTGATAGCGTTATTAAGATTCCATCATAATAACGATATCGAACGATATTTTTAGTTTATTACGATATCTTGATAAAAAAAAAATCGTGAGCACAGCTATATGTTCGACGGCTTGTCTATTCTATGAGTGCGTTTTATTAATAAAAAAAAACTTAATTGCTTCGATTATTTCATTGATTTCACCGAAGAAAATTTTACTAAATAAATAAAATATTCATGTTTACTTGAATGTCATTTTTCATTATAAGGATTTTCAGAATATATATTTTCAAGAATAATTTTTTGAATTGTTGAAATGATACGAAATTCAAAACGTAGCATGAAACACATTCACAGCAAAATGCAAGTGTATTAGTGTGTCGTTATTGTTTATAGTATATTTGGAAAATACGGTAGCGGGCCCTGATGAAAAATATTGACATTGAAACAAAGAACAATTGTGAATATTGTGATGCGTCAAAAACAAGAGAATGTATACAGCAAACACTACTGCTGGTTCTTGACAAACAGGCCAAAAATATTATTACGACTTTGAATTTGCGAGCGCGTGTAGACAAAACAAGAACAATTTTAATTTGGTAATTTCTGTGCTTGAGTATACTTCATAAAAAGCGAAATCGTCCAATTTTAAAATGAATTCACTTCTATTTTGCTATTCATTTGTTATTGGGTTTTCAGTAAGTTTATGTTCTTTTAAGTTTGAAATTTTCATTCATTTTCACCTTTAAATCTGTTTTCCTTTTTTAGTATTTAATCGGAACGAATTTCAATTTTGAATACAAAAATAACTCATTTGAACTAATACTTCATTAAACCTCCCCAGTTTTCTGTCGCTCGTTTCGAAAGGCATCATAGTTCACTAGATGTGAAACCGATTGCAGAAAACGGATCCAACTATTTCGTTGGTAAGAAGGATGCTTTGAATTATATGCTCGATGTGAATGATGACGTTCAGAACTTTGTGCTAGTTGAGTGTGATAAACTAAAATTTTCAATGGAACAAATCATGAATTTGGGCAAAAGCATCCACTTTCTGGCTCTTAACGACAACGAGACCCTTCAACTTAATCCATTACACTCCTATTTGGTATATACCAATGGCGTGTGCGACGATTTGCGTAATCACATGTTACACTTTGCGGACGAGCGTTATGATCAGTACATCGCCGGCGTACCATACAATCTGAGCACGGACCAAATTCTACGGTTGGGAAGTCCAAGCAGATTAGATTGGGCGGTTGCTGTGACTGAGGAAAACTTAGCGACAATTAAATCAATCTTCGCGAAAAATGAAACGAAAATTGCCATTGAATTGGCTGAACTGAAAAAACTGAAGATTTCTCTCGAAATAATCAAGTTATCCTCTTCAGTAAAGGAAATTCAATTGGGCATCGAACCTTTTATAAGTATAACGAAAATTAAGAACGATTTTTTGAAAAACATCGAAAAAATGGCCGACGATTTGGAGAAACATGTACGAGACGTTCTGAAATTAGATGATTTATTGGGAAAAATCCAAAAGTGCATTGAATCCATTGTCAATGCTCAGAAAGGGATTCCATTGGAATTGGCCGTATCATTTATCGTCTAAAACTTTGAATAATTGTATTTTTATCGATTAGCATAATTGATGTTTGATGATAGATGCTTGTATGGATAAATTCCAATTTTGAAATTGAATAAATTAATGAATCAGCAAAAAAAAGAACTATTTGATTGACACGTTTGACTTGAACTTTCTTTTTTGTTAAATGTTGTGTTCAAACTACATGAAATGTAGAACTACTAATCTGGTTTTTTTCCCTAAGACTTTTTTGAGCCATGAACAGAATTAGAGTGACTTTCGATTCTATGCTCATATTATTTATTAAATTTAAACCAGAGGCAGTATGTATCTTTCAAAAAAGAAATTAAACCAAGATCTTGTAATTATCATTATTGAGATAACTGAGAAAATCTTTTTTCTGTACCTACTTTGTTGCAAATATATATCCTTCGTACTATGATGAATGCTTTTAATCTATAGTGTTCTTAAAAGGGACGACTTTTAATGATATATTAATGCAAAGTTACTTCGATGAAACACCTTTCATGTAGTGCGCAAAAAAGTTGTTGTGAAACAACAAAATAGAATAAGTAACTAAAATCTCAAGAACACAGAGTGGAGCGAAGTGACAGCATTCAATAACACTGCAAAATAGACTATTATCAACATCTTAATGCGTCTTCTTTGAATTGTTATCAATTTGATAACAATTGATACTTAATATCACTGATAAAAATCCCACTTGAATCACACTTTCGATCAATAGTTTGTGTTATATTGCGAATCTTCTTAACGTTTTTAGGAGCTTCGGAAACTAAAGTTTGTGTTTTCAGAAATCGATAATTTTTGGCATGTTGTTTCTATATATAATGATTAATGAAAAACAATATAGTTGAACAACATCTTTGGTTTTGAAATGGCACACATTTGAGTCTTGAATTTATCTTTATTTCAACTACTGCACATGAAGCACAATTCGAAGTCTCAACGGCGAAAGTAAGCACCTGTTTCAGCAACAAATCTATGGGTCACTCGCGACTCTCAATAACACAGATCACAGAGCAACGAAAGCAGTTGAATACAATACAAGTAACATAGAACAGTAGTAGTAGTGATAAATTTATTTAAACTTTTTTTCCAGTGTTTCTGGTGCAATAAATCAGATTCTAGATCATGTATTTTGAGAATTTTTCCAGTTTGTTCAAGTTCAATAGATCAGTTTTGAATATTTGCTGGAAGAGTGCGATGGACACTCTTCAACTCATGGTGATATCGGTGAAAATTGGGCGGTTGAATTCACTAAGCACAATTTGAAAGTAATTTAATCAATTTTCATGGAAAATGAAACGAAAACCACAATGGAATTGGCTGAGCTGAGGAAACTTAAAATATCTACTACCAGAATAGATAAATTATCTGCATCAATCAATGAAATTAAACTAGACGTGGTGACTTCATTGACGCAAATAAAAAATGATTCGTTGTCAAACGTTCAAGCGATAGCAGGTGAATAAATGAAGCACGTAGGGAACTTCTTGAATTGGATGATTTAGTGAACACAATAAATGATTGCTTTCAGCGTATTGTCAACGTTGAAAAAGGAATTCCAATGAAATTGGCCTTATCATTTCTCGTTAGAAGCTGTCGCAGTTACAAAGTTGCCTATAACAATTCCAAATGTATTATTGTTGTACATTGAAATGACAGTTCCGAAATTAAATTAATAAATAATCTTCGGCAAAAGCAAAAACTCATCGTTTTTTTGTTGTTGCTCGAAGTCGTAAACAAAAGACATTGTCAATAAATTCTCCGGTTTCGCTTGGATGCGTTCACGTATAGCCAAACAGAGATAATTTATGACGTAGCAAACTGTGTTGCGTGTTTGTCGTCAATGTTCGACGTGCCCAAAGCGAATCCCTCGACAAATGCGGCTGTGAAATGCTGCACAGGTCTTATTCAATTAAACTAATGCATTTGCATTGAACCAGTTGCGTAATAACAATATTCGAAATCACACGATTTCTTCCCCCATCGAAAAGTTTTATCTTTTACTTTTTTTCACGGGAATTTTCACTGCATCAATTTAATTAATTAGCGGCTGCAACAAAGCGGTCGAGCAATCAATGGAACTCGGCTCGAATGCAGAAATATGTCGGGGAAAAAATTGACAACTTTTAGTGAATGCACTTTTTCTCTCTGGTCGGCGACATTTGTGCTCAATTAAAGTTGAAAGGCGAATGCGAGCAACAATGCACCATTTAACATATATTCGAACAATCGGTTTTGATTGAGTTGAATTGCTGAAAAAAATCGAAGAAAGTAATTTAAAATGGGCGCATATATATTCGCGTTGTTTTTGCGTTTCACAAAGTGATTTTATCCAATTATCCCCATTCAAAACGAATTTCTCATGATGCTCATGAAAAAGTGTGTATTTTTGTTGCCAATACAATCTGCTTAATTCATTAAATTTTTTTTCATACTTGAAAACAACAATCGTCATAAATTAAAATCAAATGTCCAGATGCTCAACGCTTCAAGGCAAAAACATCGTCTATGTTTATTTGATAATTTGACTTTAAGTGTGTGGTTTTTTACGCATAAAAATTGTTTTTTTTTCTCCCAAGAAAATGATCCGCATTTCACTTGAATGTGTGTTTTAAACAAATTAATACCATCCATACATGTGAACATAAAAGCGGCTGCATGAGATTTTAGCGACGTCTCTTCGCCAGAGCCACAGTCATAACAATAAAAAGAACGACGATGCCAATCGAATCGAAGCCATTTGGAATAAATGTTGAAAAAGTTATCGCACAAATAGAATAGCCGGCCCTCGTTCACAACGCCACACATCTTCCACACACAAAACTTACGGTCATAATTCATTTTGAATGAGTCAATAAATGTTTGAAAGTTTTTGCTTTTGTGTAGCTTCGGTCTTTATCATTTCGGCGCTGCAACGCCGTTAAGTGAGAGAAAAAAGAAGAAGAAGTTAGTTCGGCGTGTCTGGCGATATATAAAGATAGCACCAATGCGAATTGAAAAAAAAAAACGTGAAGCGGTTCATGGAGGAGCAAGCGAAGTGTTGTACAGACAACGGCTATCGTATCGGCTGTGCTTGAATGGAGGCTCTCCGTGCCGTGCGTTTGTGAATGAAAAAGCGAGAAGCGAATTGTAAACAGTTGTAAAAAAAGAACACACAGCGAAGACTACGCGGCTTCGAAGAGAGCCGACTGAGAGAGCCAGTGCGAACGAACGAACGAACAGATAGAGCGGTGAAATGGAGAAGGAAATTCAGCGGCAAAATGCATTTTACTACGTTATATCATACATGCTGTTTGATTCTTCCGTCTTTCGTTCATGTGCCGCCGCTGTTCACGGGCACTAACACAAGCACATACACACACACACTCGATCCGTGTACACTCAGCGCGCTTTGGAAACGAAGCATCGTGTGAGTGTGTTGTTTACAGCACGCCAGAGTACATAAATCAATGAAGCTGGCTGACTGACTGACTGTGGATTCTACTCCTATGTACTAAGTTTTGTTTTGATCACTTCGCTTCATATGTTTTCCGATTCAGTGTGCTGACAACGTTTGCACTGAACGGATAGCACGTCGCACCATATCGAACGACGGCTCACCACATTTTTTTTTCTAACGATATTTTTATTCATAGACTTTTTTCTATGATACGACTGGCTTGACACATTTTTGTAAAGAAAAAATAAATAAAACCGAAATTGTTAGTTTGTGCCTCATGTAGTTCGAAAAAATATTCGTTCGATTTAGTAAGCGAAGACACATTTGCGCACCGCACTTTGTATTCTAGAAAATTATCATGAATTTATGACCAACAACAATTACAACAGGACAAATAAAAAAAAAAACACCGAAACAAGAAAGAAGACTGTTTACACAAGTGTGTGACGATATCGAAAAGATACATGGAATTGTTCATCATATTGAGAACATGTCATCATTAATTAACAAAGCAATATGAAAGTCAAACGCGATTCGCAATTTTAATTTTGCCACTTTTTTCCGTCTTACATTGCGTATTTGTGAATCGTAAAATCGGGTGTTTTGCCGTGAATAATGTGACAGAGAATGTGAAACAAAATGAGTCGGCTATTTAGTGTTGACCGGCATTCATTTGTCGAACAAATTGAAGACACAGCGATTGGATATATAGGTTGAAATAAGTGAATCGTGGCTAATTAAAGCAAGGAAAAATAGCGACAAAAACAGTCAAATGCATTCAAAATCGATCGGATTAAATTGATAAAACCAAAGCAACAAAACAATAATGCCCTGGAATTGTTTGTGTTCGAGCAAAAGCAAAAATAGGAGACCACAAATCAGTGCACCTATTTTAAATGTAAGTTTTTGTTATTTTTTTTCTATATTTAGTTTTTTAAACATCTTCCAGGGAGAGAGAACAATTCGAAAAATCGACTTTTATGCTATGTGATAATAACACTAATTTGAATACAATATAGAAGAAAAAAAAATTCGAGACTTTTTGGGATGAAACCACATCGCACGTCGTGTGTGTACTTTAAATGAAATTCCACGGCGTGTGTGTGTGCTGGATAAAATTTAAAATTCTGCTCGTGTTTCAAATACAAAGTTGCGAATAATAAAGTTGTATTATATATATGGTTTAAAATGCCAAAAACGCCCCGCTGAATGTACGAGCGACAGATGGTTAAATGCCCGCATAAATTTTTCGCTTTTCTCCACAACATCTACATTTCAAATTGGCACCGAATTATCAGATCATCAAAAAAGAGCGTTTAGAAAACGCACAACATTTCTTTTTGCTCGTTTTTCACTATGACAGCGTTCATTTTTTCGATGTTTTTTTCACTCTTTTTCTCGTTCCGTTGAAACCGCCACCATATCATCATCGCACGACGTGTGTATCATTCCGCATGACGAACGAAACAATAAACAAGTAAAATCGTGAAATGAACGAAACGAAAAATGCGTGCAGAGATATTTTAAAATCCTCACAAATCAAATATGAGAACGCCAGACAGTGTTTCATGTGACCGTTTGCGATTAGAAGGAAATATTGTTTTTTTTCGTGGGTATTTTTTTTTAAAATTAATCAGAACATCGGTATTAATCGCTGATGTCATATTACGCGCACAAAATCACTTTCAACTATTGGCCTCGTTATTGTTGCTCATTCATTTGGCGTCGACTTTTCGCGTTACGTTCAACAAAAAATTATCTTGTGATTTTATTGTGAATGTTCATCATTTTTGTTTGGAGTTTTTTTTTTTGTCTGTCAGTTCAAAAATTTCAAGTATTTAAAACATCTTAAGATTAGTGATCAATGTAAATCCAACAAATTGGATTTCGACAGAGCGGCCGAATGAAAGAGGCCGTATATTCAGTAGCATCGTTATCAGCGTCAGAGGAAATAAATTCAAATTTCATTAAAGAAACACACAGAGAGAGATAGAGAGAGAGAGAGAGAGAGAGAAAGCGATTGAGAGCAAATGGCGATGCGAGTGCTGAGCGCCGAACAATTATCGATCGGATGTTATATTTAGATTTTGTTTGGTTGAACGACATTTAGACTTAGAATAAAATACTGGCGCACAACAAACGAGCGATCGAATCGTAGCATACACAGTTCACAGTTTGAATCAGTGCAGTGGAAATTCGTTTTAAATCGACAATGAATTTATATAGTTCAATGAACCGGTAATTAAATTCACTTTGAAAGTTGCATTGGTTTCGTTCATCGTATACCGATTCCCAATTCAGGTACCTGTTAAATAATGCATAGCACATATAGAATATGAACTTTTTTTGATATGCTTTTTCATACGGTGTCCCGTACGACCATTCCATCATTACCACCAATAAAATACTTCTCTTTTTTTGTCCAACCCAAAACAAAATAATAAAAATGATTTTGGCATTTTGATGTCTGATGTGATGCATATTCAATCAGTCTTGATTTGAATGGCGGGTCATTAAATAAACGATTTGAGACAATTCCCATCATCGTCAATGTTCGAAGATCGGTTCGTGTGCATAGTGCATCGAATGTTTGTTTTGATTGGTTTAACCTTTGATGAGGGAAGAAAATAGAAGAAAAAAAAAATCGATGGAACAAAGGAATTAGAATGATTTCGAACCATTTGAAAAGAAAGCGATTCCAGAGAACGGGCATATTTTGATGTGCGCGGACAATGAAAGAAAGCGGCATACAAATTGAATAATAATGCATACAACACACCCAACAAAAATTGCTGGTGATACAGCACTGAACAACAATGTACAAGTTACGGCAACTGAATATTCATTTGTTGATTCTTTTCTCTCCTTTGTTGATTATTCTCATCGAACGAAAAAAATATTCGTTCAGATGGAACACGTCTGTTTGCATTTTCTGTTGTCTTCACAACCAACGTTCGATCGCAATTATCGCAATCCGTCAGATAAGACGAATTTATTAATCATCAATAGCGCAAATCAGTCCAGATAACACAACTGTAATGGCATCAACTGGAAGTGAGACTATGTAATCAGAAAATGATGACGATCGACATGAAACAATAGACGCGTTGTTGAGTGAACCTTTGTACACACAATTTCCAAATGAACGTTCGTGTAAAATGTAATTATTGCATAAAAGTAGCATTTTAATAGCACATAATTATAATTCATTATGTAGTTTGTTTTGTATGCACTTAATTGGCGGCTGTCATTGTTCAAACAACGCCGAAAGTGCAGCAAAACACTGTGTGATGAAGATGAATCCATCGAATGCATGCGCATTTCTTCCAGTCTAAACACGTGAGACGTACGTACGCACGCATTCAAACCCATTTCAACATGCCGAGAAATGTTTGTGTTTTTTTTGCTATTGATTTCATCGTCATAGTCAAATGCGTTTACTTGTTTAAGTTGCGTCGACGGCACGTGTTTGTTCAACCGTAGATCGGGTGCTTGCTTCTGTTTGAATGATGTAATTGCCTTTTTTTACGAAAGATCTCACCAATATTGAATTTCAATGTCGTTTCCAAACTAAGGTTTGGCTTCGATAAGAAACAGACCAATTTAATCGATCACGCTCGATTTGCTCTGAAGGAGCCGTTACCGTTCACTGAGAAAAACATATACAAACACCAACCGAAGGGTGACAAAAGTATCTGTATAACAATCTGGTCATACATTACGGAACTCTTAGTGAATATTAATGCGAAGGGTGTATCATTTGTCACTTTTAGACCTTGATATTGATGATCGCACACCAAAATAGATTAAAAAATTCTCTGAATTGTTTTAATACGCTTCAATCGATTTAATCAATCAAAATCAATCATATTTTACCTTGATATGACACTAAACAACACATTAGCATTCGATTATAACATATAATATAAATTTATTGTTTCCACAGTTTGTTTGAGATATTTTTAACGTCTAGAATTAAATTGTGAAGAGACGACATAAAACACTTATTATATTCATATTTTTACGATTTCAAGAAAAAATGAAAACTAAAGTATTGAGAAACTGAAATGCTATGAATCATAAATTGAAATATTATCGTTGATCGTTGAAAATATCCCAGATTTATCCGTTCCATCACAAGGAGTGTAGACTTGTGTGCGAAATGAAGAACATTGACTCTCTGAAAGGTTATCGAAACGTCAAATTGATTTAAATTCAATATAGAATTTTTGATAACCGACCTCTGTGAATATCTCCTAGATCCAGCGATATTCAAACGCTATTATTGCTATAGTAATGGTGTACAGTTTCCAATTTATTGAAAAAACATTTTTTTTAATATATTTTGGCTTTGAAGATTATTTGTTTACAAATCCTTTAATTTTTATAAGTCATAAAAATGTAAAATGAAATGGAAAAATTTGTTCATACAAACAATATGTTAAAATTTCTCAAGATTTGTATTTTTGTTCAATTACTCCGGTACCGTAGACTTTGATTTTCCACTCGATTATCAAAAACAAAATGAATCTGGGATTTAGTTAGATCCGGAGAATATATAACGGGTATGAGATGTTTTCCCTTCTGGTCATTTTAAAAATATTTGAAAAAAAAATTCTTACTCTTTTGTATCAAGTTGTTGAGCTCATTGAGTAAAACGAATGAAATTTAATAATTTAAAAAAACTGCGACGTTCAAGCACATGTCGATAAAACTTCTGTTGGATTTTAATTGGCGAATAGCCTAAATGCGACAAAGAACTTTTGGCATTATAAAAATTATCCATTTTTGCATGGAAAAAAAACTGAAATGCAACTGATGTGGTGCTCCGGATATCAGCTAGAAGCTAACAGCAATGATTCGAAATGGACATATGCACTTCTTCACATTCAATGAGATCCTTTCGAATAATCCACGCAACTAGAATGATAACCCAATTCCAGTCGAAACCAAGGAACAAATGTGCCAAGCAAATGATACATCCAATCGAATGAAATACTTCGTTACACGTGGTGAAGAATGCATCGTTCAGAAAATCAACCGACTTATTGCCACTGAATTATTTATCTTTCCAACCATCACATTAGTCTTAGGCACAATCTTCTACAATGCATGTAAAATAGTTTATTCCAAGACAATTCGCCTCGAGTAAATTTTTTTTCACACAAGCTACTTTTCCCGCAATACACGAGCAACATTCGAATGACCATATGTGGATATGAATGGTTTGGAGCAAAAATGTAATACAGAAAAGTTGAGCGGAAAAATGTCGATGATGAATGAGCGGAAGAGGGATAGCTATATAGTAAACTGTATAATAAACTATAGTGAACTATATAGTCCTTTTCATTTGACATTTTTCCTCTCAACTTTTCTGTATAACATTTTCGCTCCAAACCACTCGTTGATATTCAACTGAATCCCATAATGCATGTATTGAGGCCTTATTTTTAATGTAAAGTAAACAAATTTAATAAAATTTACGCGAACAGCCCTCGATTTCTAAAAAGTAACACTTGTGTTGTTGTTTGCACACCCAGTTTATGATATACTTCAGAAAATACCGAAAAATAAAATTCAATAAATGGATTTGTATTGGTGTAGAACCATCGAACGTGTGCAGAAGAGAAGCATATAATGTCTTGGGTAATCAATACAGTGAAATTCGTTGAAAATTTTGCATTTTAACGATACATAAAAGGAAAAAAGTATGGCTGTCTAAGGAAAGACTAAATCATCATCTCTATGCAGAAATATTGTTTCATTCCAATAACATCTTTCGCTCGAATATATGCACATTTCTACTTTGAAGAAAAGCAAAATGTTTAATTGAAGATTAAATCGATTGATGGGCCACGCGTCTTAAGGTGCACATATTCACTGCAATGATAAGTCATT